TGATGTTGGTGACAAACATATATCTGATCATTCACTTATTCAGTGCTCTTTCAAACTCACTAAACCTAAGCAGGTGAGAAAAGAAATTAGCTACGGGAAGACTTAAAATATAAACATTAGGCAGTCTTCTAATAACATTGAATCTTCTGGGCTGCTACAGTCACTCTCTTATTCTTGTTGAGTTAATGATAAGACTGGTGTTTTCTTAATATTGGATACGCATACTCCTCTGAAGTATAGTTCTGTTGTCATTCGTACTCACTGTGACCGGTATAACGATGACATCCGCAAGCAGAAACAGATATGCAGTGCAGCTGATAAACATTGGCGTCGTTCAAAATTGAAAATTCATCGCCAGCTCTTCAAAACTGCTAGGAATAATGTCAATAAAGCTTCAGCAGCAGCCAAACGAGCATTTGTATGCAACTTAGATTCTCTCATCAGTCCATTATCGAATGCAGTCAACAGTTCATTGACGGATGCCACAGTTCCCAAAGTTTCCAAACAGGCACTCCTCTCATTAAAAAGGCCAATTTAAATCCGGATGAGTTAAAAAAGACTACGGGCCAGTATCTAATCTGTCTCTCATTTAAAACTGTCTGGAAAAAAATTGTTTCACCAAGGCTTGAACAACACCTACTCAATAACAACCTGTTTGAACCCTTCCAGAGTGCTTACAAATCAAAACATAGCACAGAGACTGCGCTTGTTCATGTCCATAACGACGACATGAGGGCAATGGACATGCAGACTGTGACCCTGCTGGTCCTTCCGGATTTATCATCAGCCTTCGACACCCTAGACCACAGCATACTGCTTTCTCACTTGGAGGAAAGACTCGGTGTTACAGAAAAAGCTCTTTCTTGGATCAAGTCCTATCTGTCCGGCAGAACAGGTTGTCAAGATTGGCGAGGTTACCTCACCTCCAACAGCCGTTAATGTTGGTGTTCCGCAGGGTTCAGTTCTGGGGCCTTTGCTTTTCAGCATATATGTCCTTCCAATAGGTGATAACATCAGGAAACGCAGTTTGATGTTTGATCTCTATGCTGACAACAATCAGATCTACATATCAATAAAGCCATCTGAAAATTGAAGCCTGTGTGAGCAAGGATTATATCCTGGATGACCCTTAATTTTCTCAAATTCAATGACAGTAAAACAGAATTTCTACTATTTGTTTTTGAAAGTGCCTGCAGGTCTGTCGCTTAACATTGGCTACAGCAATGTCGGAATCACTCCATCTTGAAGAAATCTTGGAATCATATTTCAATCCAGCATGTCCCTTTAAAGGTCAAGAACTTAGGCAAAACTTGCTTCTTCCACATTCACAACATCAGTAAAATCCGCCATCGTCCTGACCATGAAACTACAAAACTTCTTATGCAGACTCTCATCACATCACTACTGGATTATTGTAACTCCCTTTTCTTCAACATTCCTTTATCTCTGATCACAAAATTACAGCGAATCCAGAATGCAGCAGCAAGGGTTGCAACGCGCACACCACAAACTGATCATATAACACTTACCCTGAAGGCCCTCCACTGTCTGCCCGTGAATTTCATGATTCAGTACAAGATACTTGTTTTAGCCCAAAACTGTGTCTGTGATTAATCATCGTGTCCCTCTACAGAAGTCTTGTGAGGATATACCAACCAACCCGTTCTGTCGACCTTCTTCGCCTGTCAGTACCAGTCATGAAATCGTCAATGGGTGATGGAGCTTTCTCTGCCTCAGCTCTTCTACTGTGGAACGATCCACCTCTTCCTATAAGGACTGTCTCTTACAAACCTCAATTAAGACTTTCTTAATGCTATTCTGAATGACCTTTATTATATTTCCTGTACAAATTACCACTGAGCAAACTGTATGGATGGAGGAAGTTAGGCGCTATAGAAATGTATTATTATTATGTTTTTCAGATTAAGAATAGAATGTAGCAAAGAGGGTTCTGGTGATCCTGGCACAGTCAGGCTGGTAAGGTTCATCATCAGCTCAGGGCCCTTGCCCCCTCTACATGCAGCCCAGACAGCAAATGGGACTTCTCCCAGGTGTTACGGTTAATACTTGCCGTGACAAAAGGTTTAAAAGCAATGACCAAGCTACAATGAATGACAATAAAGTACAATGCAATTGAGTCACAAATCTAAAATATTGGGTCATAAATATGAGATATCAACTCACCAGTCTTGACATTTACAGTGAGAGCAGATATACTGAATGAAGGTTCTATGCAATGACAAAATTGAATGTTGAGCAACTCCAGTGAAGTCCGTGTGTGATTCCGTGTCGCACAACACAACAACAGTCTTATATAGCTCTTCCACAGTTCTCGAGCATTCTAGTAAAGGTAGGCAGCAGCACTATCCTCTCAGAACTTGATGGAAATCTGTGGAAAACTCCACGAAGTCAACACGATAAACAACCAGCCGAGGGAGGCAACTCTGAAGCGCTATCAAAAAGGCATACCGCTAAAAATACTATTGCCATTAAACATATATGATGCGAGATGTGACCCACAACCCACACTCAAAACATTAAACATTGTGACCCATGATAATTATCACTCAATCAATGGTATCACAAATTACAAAAAACACACTCTCGTAACACAGGAAACGCCGCCTAGTCGAACCTAGAACTTTCCGGAGAACATGTAGACTCCCCGCTCCCGTTTGAGAACCTAGGCACTCTCCTGATCTGCGCCAAGAGACCAGGAGATACCAATTCAAGGGCACCGAGAACAATGGGGAGGCTGATGACAGTATACTTGGGATGCAAGCAAGACATTTCAAAGCCAAGCTCCACATATATATCCTGCTTTTCGTGAATCTTGCCAATCACATTGCTGTCAAAAGGGACAGAAAATTCAATGATATAAATAAATTCATTGGTTTTATCAAGAAGGAATATATATCATTCGAAATTAAGAATTGAACAGATAATTCGTTGTTTTTTATCTATTAATGCAGTTTATGTGAATATATTCATTTTAACGATGATCCTGCCAATGTTCCCATATGGGAACAGTTTAACTTCAATTGAAACTTTTGACCTTAATTCCTGCATCATGATAAAATTTCTTTTGCCATTTTATACCTACATCAATTGTTTGTAAGGACATGCGAAAAAATATTTAAAAGAATGTAATTGTATTTGTGAATTTCTTGTAGAATGATTTCGTTTGAAAACTCGTTTATTGGCATTTTTGGACCCTGGTCAATTCTTCAAAACAAATTTCAAAGTATGATTTTAAAATGTTAGAACATTGACAATTATCTTAATAATATAGTCCAAAGGCATTAATTTATCTTTACGCAAAAAAAAATACAAAGCCTGTTATGACATGTTCCCATATGGGAACATTGGCATGAAAAAGGTTGATGACGCTGACAAATTTCTGACACATGAAAAATTTGAAACCACAAATAATTTAAGAAAAAAAAATTCGAGATTATTGCGCAATCATTAGTGCAGTTAAAGCTTTCCTTAAAAGCAAACAAATCAATTGAGAAAACATCAACAAACAATTAAACCCAAAGCAACCATATATCCTCAACCTTCTGACAATACAAAAAACTGGTTGTCAAGTTTATTACAGGGCTTTATTGGAAGCAAAAACAAATCGTAATCAACACTGTATGAAATGGAACGTTATATTAGGAAAAGAAATTGGAATTGCTATAGATATATCTTCAGTAACCCATGCCTGTCGTAAGAGGCGGCTAATGGGATCGGGTCGTCAGGCTCGCTGACTTGGTTGACACATGTCATCGGTTCCCAATTGCGCAGATCGATGCTCATGCTGTTGATCACTGGATTGTCTGGTCCAGACTCGATTATTTACAGACCACCGCCATATGCACTACTGCCTAAAAGTTAATTCCCCTTACACGCGTGTGCAACGCGTGACGGAACCCGTGTGAGTCGCGTTGGTCACTCATGTGGTATTGTAAAATTATTTTCTCCTGAGAGGGTACGTAAGTCCCAAAATATTCAAAGTAAATTTATACCCATTACTATATTTAATCGTAGGATATATGGTGTTTTAATTTATGGCTAGATTTTCTAAAACTGCTAATACCTGAAGGGATGGTGTAAATCCAGCTAGGGTCCATGCAGGTAGTAAATGTACTATAGGTCCCCATGGTCCCTAGTATGGTGAATATATAGCCTATATAGCCTGTACGTTTGTTGCGTTGAGTCCCATTCGGGATTCGAACCCACATCCTCAGAGTCAGACATCTAATCGTCAGCACACAAGATCAGCCGTCTCACCCGCTCAGACACCGCGACTTCCGGAAAAATGGAAGTCGGACAGCTGGTAGTCTAAGACTCTGAGTGTGTGCGTTCGAATCCCGAATGGGACTCAACCCAACAAAAGTACAAGAATCTGTACTTTACTAAGAATGTGTTATCCCAAATATAACATATGTTACATTTGTCTACTTTATAAAATGGTATTGTGTAATCATAGCTTTCGGCCGTGGGAGCCGTGCCAATTTACACTTATCAGAGGGGTACACAAAGTCCGCAGTCCAGACTACCAGCTGCCCGACTTCCATTTTTGTGCAAGTCGCAGTGGCTGGGCGGGTTAGGTGGCTGACTTTGTGTGCTGACGATTTGGTGCCTGACTCTGAGGGTGTGGGTTCGAATCCCGTATGGAACGCAACCCAAATAAAGTACTAGAATTTGTACTTTACTAAAAAGTGTAATCCCAAATATAACATATGTTGCAATAGACTAGCACCATAGTGAGTTTCAGGTTTGTGTTATTTGATTTAATTTAAATGTGCACATTCAGTTGAACGCAGAAAGAAAATGTCAAAGGTAACCTGCGTGTTTCTTTATTTTCAGTGTGTACTCACGTTACATCTAGCAACTGTCGAAACTTGGATGTGTGTTATTTTTAGTATATGTAGAAAACGTTAAATATTTAAATGGATATATTATCAGTTGACCCGCAGTACTCTGCCTTATTTTTTTTATTTACTTCACAGATCCAGTGACTCCACTCTCTGCAGGAATTAACTACACAGTGGTTTTTGACAACTCTGTGGTAACACCTGGCCTTATCGGCTCCAAGCTGCTCTCTGTGGGAAACAGTTTCGATTGTGTGAGAAGTAATACTTGTTCCATTCACATTGAGTCGTCAGTGTGTCATAAGAGTATAGCAAACTGCAATAAATTTGATGGTCACCACTACGGTTTTCTCACTGTCAGGCGCAATGTACCACAAGGACCAATTGATGTATCAAGAATTCAGAAGAGCACGAAAGGTATGATCTTGATATGTTAAAATTACCTTCATTGCATGATGATATCATTGTTATATGGACTTTACATTTTTTGTCTATTCAGATAAAACGAGTCTGAAACAAAGATTACTTACATATATATACACACACACACACATACACACACACACACGAATACTCACACATACATACATACATACATACATACACACACACATACATAACAGCTGCTTCGTCATATTTTACCAACGAATAGTAGAAGTTTTAGAATAAAATATATTGACCATAACCAAAAAATGTCTCCTTTCATGAAGCTAAGAAAAGGGTTGCAAGTTTAACTGCAGCCCCTTCAAGCATCACCTACACTTCTGCTGTCTCCCGTCCTCCTATCACTACTGCAACTATCTCATGTCAGACCGACCTAACATGGGTCATGTCTTCTCAGCCAACTCAACTCGACCCAACTCAACCCATCTCAGCCACTCCATCTCCAAAGCCAAAACTTCTGAATCACAAACACCAGAACAAATGCTAAAACCAGAAACAGAAACTTCGCGCCAAAAAAGGGGAAAAAAGAGGCCAGAGAAACTAAAGCAGCTCTGGCAACTGCCAAACACAAAACCAAAGGCCACCTCTCCTTCAGAGGTCCCCGTCGAGGTCCATAACTCCTTTGGCCCTCTGGATATGGAGGTAACTCGTTCTCCACCTGACACAAATAGGAGTTCATCAAACGCTTTCTCACGTTCACGTGACATGCCACCAGTGGAAGCACCATGAATCCACAAAACATGATTCAGTGGAATTGAAGAGGACTTAAGAATAATTATAACGAATTACAGTCATTGATTCAGGACTTCAAACCATCCGCGTTTTGTCTCCAAGAAACCTACCTAAAAAGGACTGATAAATTTGACATCCGTCGGTACAGTTCCTACCACTCCTTTTCTCCTCCCGGTGTAAAAGCTACAGGAGGCACTTTTATCCTGGTGAGGCAGGGCATCCTCCATAGCCCTGTTCCACTTAACACCAACCTACAAACTGTTGCTGTCCGCATGACTCTGAACATAGGGTTTACACTATGTTCACTCTATCTTCCTCCCTCCTCAACTGTCCACCTATCAGATATTCAGAACTTGTATAATCAACTCCCAAAGCCATGCATAATCATGGGCGATCTGAACGGACATAACCCTCTATGGGGGGAGTACTGATACAAATAATAAGTGAAAGGTCCTTGAAGATTTCTCTCCAATAATGATCTATGCATCTTCAACGATGGATCAAACACCTATTTCCACCCTGCCACTGGAACATACTCTGCACTTATCACTATTACTTACGGATTCTAATCTCTTAAACGAGTTTGAATGGTCGGTCCACGATGACCTTTGTGGAAGTGACCACTTCCCAACTATTCTTACTCCTTATTACTTCCGCGGATGAACCACCTTCAACAAGATGGAATTTTACTAAGGCCAATTGGCCATTATTCCAAACTCTCTGCTCTGAAAAGCTTATACCGGACAACTTCAGGAATGTTCCTGATCCCATGGAACTATTTTCTGATATCTTAAATACTATTGGAGACGAAACCATTCCTAAGTCCTGTGCAACCCCGCACATACGCAAACCATGGTTTGATACAAACTGCAAACAAGCTAGGAAAAATAGGAAGAAAGCGGAAAAATACTTCCGTCAACATCCTACTGTGCACAACCTGAATGCCGTTAAAATGACAAATGCCAGGGCAAGACGTACATTTAAACAAACTAAACGCCGGTCATGGAGGAAATATGTGTCCAAAATCAACTCCCACACACCCATGTCCAAGGTGTGGAACATGATTCAACAGATTAAGGGCAAAAGATCCAAATCTGGTGTTCGCCATCTCAAAGATGGTGACTCCCTTTTAACCAATAAAGTTGAAATTGCAAACAAACTTGGCGAAACTTTGGCAAACCACTACTCCTCGTCATACTATAACCCCAAGTTCCAGAAATACCAAATCCAACAAGAAAAGAAATCAGTCAATTTTAACTCTGATAATGGTGAGGATTACAATGAAACGTTTTCTCTCCATGAACTACGTACTGCCGTAGGGCAGGCTCACGACACTGCAGCAGGAGCTGATGATATTCATTATCAGCTTCTGAAACACCTTCCTGATTCAAGTTTGGAAACTCTACTCAATATTTTTGATGACATTTGGACAACTGGCAACTTTCCTCCTTCGTGGCACAACGCCATTATCATCCCTATACCAAAACCTGTCCGGGATATCCCGATCCCTCAAACTACCGTCCTATATCACTAACTAGCTGTGTTTGTAAAACCATGGAGCGCATGGTCAACAAACGATTAATCTGGTACTTGGAGACCAATAACCTCCTTAGTGACCTCCAATGTGGTTTCCGAAAAACCCGAAGTACCATTGACCACCTGGTGCGTCTGGAATCTTTCATAAAAAATTCCATCGTCAACAAACAACATACCGTATCTATTTTCTTCGATTTAGAAAAAGCATACGATACATCATGAAAACATGGCATAGTAAAAGATTTACATGAATTTGTATTGAGGGGCAGATTACCTCAGTTCATATCTCAGTTTTTAAACAACAGACAATTTCAAGTACGGGTAGGTTCCACATTGTTGGATTATTTCCACCAGGATCAGGGCGTCCTTCAAGGCAGCATCCTGTCTGTCACCCTTTTTAGCATCAAAATTAACAGCCTCACTAACGTCCTGAACAGTTGTGTAGATGGGTCCCTTTTCGTGGACGATTTCAATATTTCATGTCGTGGTACGAACATGCACGCAATAGAAAGGTAGCTACAACTCTGCCTTAACAAAATCCAAAAATGGGGAAGGGATCGGATTACCCTCCTTCACTTGTACAGACCTTTCGTTCGCTCTAAACTAGACTACGGCTCCATTGTGTATGGTGGAGCCTGCAAAAGCAATTTAGAAAAATTAGATTCTATCTGCCACCAAGGCCTGAAGCTCAGCCTGGGAGCTTTAAGGACCTCTCCGGTAGACAGTCTATATGCAGAGGCTAACGAACCTTCCCTTGAACAACACCGCATTAAACTTTCACTGCAGTATATCACTAAACTACGTTCAAATCAGTCCAATCCAGCATACAATTGTGTTGTCAACCCTCTCTATGAAAACTTGTTTCCTAAACTGCCAAGCCTGGTTCCACCACTTGGAATAAGATTTCAACCACACATATCTGCAGCTAAAATTGATCTCAATAGCATAGCACCTTACCGACTCCTGTTTTCACCACCCTGGCAGATGGTGAAACCACAGGTCGATCTTACCCTCAATAAATTCAAAAAGCCTGAAACAAATCCCTTGATGTTCCAGCAGGAATACAACCAGTTACGTTCCAAGTATGACACCCATAGATCCATTTTCACAGATGGATCCAAGGATGAGGTCCAAGTCGCCAGTGCTAGTCATTGGATCTAAGACTGTCTCCAACAGTTCCATTTTCACTGCCGAAGCCAAAGCTATCTTTTCAGCTTTGACCTATATTAAACAGCAGAATCGTTCCAAAAACTTCATCGTTTTCACAGATTCATTATCTTGCCTTCAAGCACTTCAAAATGTTACTTCAAGTCACCCAATCATTCTTGACATTTTAGAACTTTACAACGACCTCTCTACTGGCCAATGTGACATCGTCCTCTGCTGGTTGCCGGGTCACGTCGGCAAAGCAGGTAACACAAAAGCCGATGCTGCAGCAAAAGCAGCTCTTGACAAGCCCTTATCTCCACTGCTGATCCCGTACAGTGATTTCAAACCCACTATCAAAAGCTATACTCGGGATCTCATGCAAAAACGATGGGACACTCAAGTAGGAAGAAATAAACTGTATGAATTGAAGCCAACAATTGGTTATACCTACTTGGGTTGTCAGTCAAGACGTGATGAGGTAATTTTACGACGATGTCATTGGCCACAGTCGGTTTACTCATGACTATCTGCTGAAAACGGATGGGGATGGACCCCCCATGTGTGTCTCTTGCGATGAGGTTTTCACCATCAAGCATATCCTGCTTGAATGCGTGGACTTATCGTCTGCAAGGGACTCACATTATGATGGAACAAATTTGAAAGATCTGTTCTCCCGCGTGAGCGCTCATCTGATAGTGAACTACCTGAGGGAAGTTGATCTGTATCATAAATTGTAACTGTGAAATGTGACTATCATAAATTGTAACTGTGAAATGTGACTAACAAATTGCCTGCCTTTAAATTTGTTGCTATGACTTTTTCTGCTTTTAAATGACAATGTAATGTATATATGTTTTTGAAATAAAACTCATTCCGAGTATGCACTTACAATGTTTATTGATGCAAACTTGTTGTCGGCTGTAATAATGCCGATGTGACGCAAAACCTAACTCAACAACTCAACTTAAGCGTGAGTCAAAAATAATACCCAAGAACTTGGCCTCCTTCACAACTTTGATGGGTGTGCCATTTAGAGATAGTTCTGGGTCTTTATGCGGTTTGTATTTACGGCAGAAATGTATACAATTAGTTTTGGATTTAGAAAATTTAAAGCCATTTTTGAGACACCATTTATCTATCTTGTTTGAACACAACTGCAGTTGTCGTTCAATAGTATGTATATTTTTACTGCAACAAGAAATATTAAAATCATCCACAAAAAATTACCCATCTATTGAATCATTTAAAACCTTGGATAAACTGTTTATCTTAATGCTAAACAGTGTGACAGACGAAATACTGCCTTATGGGACACCCTGACCCTGATTATAATTGTCAGACAGGGTTGAACCCACTGTGACTTGAAATTGTCTGTCATGTAAAAAGTTGGATATAAATTGAGGCAAGCGGCCCCGTAATCCACAATCATGTAAATCTCTTAAGATAACATGTTTCCACGAAGTATGCTTTTTCTAGATCGAAAAAGATCGACACTGCATGTTGTTTATTAATTATGGCATTATTAACAAAAGATTCCAAACGCACTAAATGATCAA